GCAAGAATAATGTGGAATTTTATTAATTATAGTTTCAAATTAGAAACACCACTGTCCTTTCATAACATTGTACTAGGTACAGGCAACAGATTCTTAGATGATATCTGTAGTCTTGGAGCATTCTCTATATACAAGGCTCGAACGTTAAAGCACATTGGTAAATGGAAGCTTAATTCCATTGCGACCTTATTTTCAATAGAGTATTATAACAGAAAGTTATTTAATAAAATTTAAAATGAAAAAAAAAATTAAAATGGCATTATGGAGTTATGTGTATATAGATAACCTCTTTGTTTATAGGCCCCAATATGCTTATTGTGTAAGTTTGGGTATTGCAAATATAGGTAGGTGTATGTGAATATTAACGTGAGTGTGGATGTATGTAGGTATGTTGACATATACCTAGGATTTCTGATCAATATTTGATTAATGTAAGCTACTTGTCATCCTGGCATGTATGCGAGTACAATGTATATGTATGTATGTACAGTATATTATTTATATTAAAAAGGTTAGTAGAATATAATCAGGAAAATATACATATAAAAGGAACGCATTGAAAACATATATTTAAATGTCGTACGTTACTATGAAAATAACTATAAAGAAATAATAGTTAGCCATCAAGATGGACTAACTCGTTTTAAAGAAAAATGATTTTTATCTCTGTAAATACTCATATTGGATATTTTACGGTACCACATAAAACCTTGTAATTGTAAATTTTGTAGTGATGAAATGTGAGAAGTAATAAAAGTTGGATAACCCCACAAAAGACAAAAAAAAAAAAAAAAAAATTAACTAGGGAAGTTTTGTTTGATTCAAATGAGAATATCGAGACGTTTTTCAAAGACATTTTAACAGAAATGTTTAGCAATAATATCATAAACTGGGGCCGTATAATTATGGTTTTCGTGTTTGGAGCGAGGTTAGCTGTTTTATGTAAAGATAGAAATAGAAATGATTTGATTGATCACGTAATACAGAATGTAGACAAATACGTGAAGACGGAATTTTCGGAATGGATTAATACGGTATCCAAGGAGGTTGGGTAAGTCACATTTTTGTATTTACAATCATTGATAAACACATTTAATTCGTGTCTATATTATACAGTATTATCATCAATCATTACTTAAAAAATTGAATTTGTTTCCAACTCTATAGGCCTATATGTACATAACTTTTTTCCTGAATGTTTCTTTAGGGATAGCGTCAAGCCTAATAGCAGCTTTGTGTCAATACAACACATTCTGTATAGGATGATATGTGTGAATTATGTGTATGTAGATACACACTTGTCCAGGATGTTTCTTTTGTTAGCCGTCAAATGGTGTATTAAAAACCGACAGGAACTATCATGCTGGTGAACTTTACAATAAAGGTGAATTCGGTCAGATAAAAATGGGAATGGGGAAACTAACACGGAAATATATTTCGATGTTTTCGTAAGACTAGATAGCGAACAAGGTAATCTGGAATACTGGTATTTGTTTTCATGCAACATTTGATCAAATCAAATAATGTTACCTTTTATTCTACGATGGGAAACGTTATGTCAGTAATTTAGCATCACAACGCGAGACATTAAAGAAATTCCTGGAAGAGCGTTTGATAAACGAACACTTAATACATGAATTTGTAAATTATATGATGATCTGTATAGTTTGAAACAAAATAAATGAAAAGCTATTGTTGCTTATTGTTGAAACAAATGTTATATGAATTTACATCGTGTACCGGTAGTGGAGCAATAAATTATATGTATGCTACGACCCTAAAATCCTGGTATTTTTCAGAGGGGGTAGAAGCAGAGTTTGAAATGGTTACAATAGTGATGGCGAAGATGATGGTGTTGATGACGAGGATGATGATTATGCTGATGGTGATGATGATGTTCAAAAGACGATATATACGAAATATATGCTTAATATGTAAATCAAGGAAGTATTAAACTGTAAACAAACTTTAAAACACATAACAATTCATAATATATAGAAATTAATCAATTTATTCGAAAATGTTAAATAAAAATTTAAAAAAAAATTACAGTTACAATTATGAACCGAACATTTAGTTAAATTAAAAACATGTAAATAAATTCAAATATAAATCTCTAATTCATGATTAAAAATGGTCGAAACTACCTCAAGTTAAAAAATTTATCAAACAAAACTTTAAAATCAAATGTAAGATAGTTTAAAACTAAACTACATAAATCAGTTAAATATAAATAAAAGATATTTTAACAGATTACAAATTAAATAAAATATATTAAGAAAGTACATAAAGAAATAACATTGTGAATCGGGAGTAATAACCTATGAAAAACCACAATTAATTATCAAACATGTGCACAATTTAAACAACAAATAATAACTTGAATGAAATATTTAACCTAAAGTAAAATAGGTTAAAAACACAAGTTTATGTAAAATAAAATGTTAAAATTTAACTAAATTTACTTAAACAGATGATGATCATAAAATGTTAGGTAACTACTTAAAGAACGTTACCAGGTAAAACTATTTGATTGTTTGATATTATTGTTCTCATAAAACGTCAATACAAAATACAAATTCAAATGTATAAAAAAGTAAAAATTAACACGGGAACAAGATGATAACCATATAAGGTCGGAATATGGGAACGCTAAATATGTGAAACAAACCTAATTTTAATTCAAACTACAATTACTATATAATATAATCGATGAACTAGAAATGTTAAAATAATAACCTAGTAAACTACAAATTTACCTAGAGAAAATAATAAATATTTATCACCCGTACAAAATACATAAAAGAGTTGAAAATACTCAAACCACGTACGGTAATATTAATAACAATTAATTCGAAATCAGAATGAATTAGACAAATGTAAATGTATAAGCTTAGGAAAAGCAAAATTTGTATCCAATTATCAGTTCAAAAATACATAAAAACATAAAAAATGTACAAAATAAGATAAAGATTAAAAAAAACAAAACAAATCCAAAATACCATATTATAACCAAATTAAAACGACTTTAAAAAAAAGAAACATTTGTATAGACGTGAAAATGTAGAAAACGTTAAATAATTATATTAGAAAATCATAAGTTTATACACAAGTATCAAAATTACATAAACATAGATAGGAACGCAATATTTTAACCAACACTACCACGTAAAACCCATTTGAAAGCAAAATTACGTACAATACTTCAACTGAAAAAAAATGAAACACTTACAAGTAAAATGCTTTTATAAACGATAGCCATATAAAAGTAAAATTCATAGAGCAAAAACTAGTCAATTTTAAAACATGTAAAACGTGAATTCAAAATCACATTTAAAAATAATGAAAGAAAAAAAAGCTTTATGTTAAGCAAGAATATTAATTAGATAAACTGTTAAAATTCAGAGACGAAAAAAGATAAAGTCAGAAGTAGTCAACACAAAAAAAAAATTAGAAAAATCACTGTAAGTTAAAAGTAAAAGATATTAGAATTAGAAAAAATAAATAAAATGCACGAAACGTAAAAAAAAAATCTACGAAGCAGTTACTCCCGAAATACTTAAAACAAGTTAAAAATGTAAAATTACAAAAGTTCAAACCACAATGTTATTATATGAATTAAAAATTAAAATATAACAAATAATGCAAAATAATTTAAAGAAGGTATAAATATACGATTACAAATTGTGGTTTGAACTTTTGAAATTTTACATTTTTAACTTGTTTTAAGTATTTCGGGAGTAACTGCTTCGTAGATTTTTTTTTTTACGTTTCGTGCATTTTATTTATTTATTTTTTCTAATTCTAATATCTTTTACTTTTAACTTACAGTGATTTTTCTAATTTTTTTTTTGTGTTGAGTACTTCTGACTTTATCTTTTTTCGTCTCTGAATTTTAACAGTTTATCTAATTAATATTCTTTCTTAACATAAAGCTTTTTTTTTCTTTTATTATTCTTAAATGTGATTTTGAATTCACGTTTTACATGTTTTTAAAATTGACTAGGTTTTGCTCTATGGATTTTACTTTTATATGGCTATCGTTTATAAAAAGCATTTTATTTGTAAGTGTTTCATTTTTTTCAGTTGAAGTATTGTACGTAATTTTGCTTTCAAATGGGTTTTACGTGGTAGTGTTGGTTAAAATATTGCGTTCCTATATATGTTTATGTAATTTTGATACTCGTGTATGAGCTTATGATTTTCTAATATAATTATTTATCGTTTTCTACATTTTCACGTCTATACAAATGTTTCTTTCTTTTTTTTAAAGTCGTTTTAATTTGGTTATAATATGGTATTTTGGATTTGTTTTGTTTTTTTTAATCTTTATCTTATTTTGTACATTTTTTATGTTTTTATGTATTTTTGAACTGATAATTGGATACAAATTTTTCTTTTCCTAAGCTTATACATTTACATTTGTCTAATTCATTCTGATTTCGAATTAATTGTTATTAATATTACGTGGTTTGAGTATTTTCAACTCTTTTATGTATTTTGTACGGGTGATAAATATTTATTATTTTCTCTAGGTAAATTTGGAG